AAAAAAAAAAAAAAAGAGTGCAGAGAGCAAAAGAGTAGAGGTTAGAGGGACATGTCCTTAATGTCAGATGTTCACATGCCCTTTATGAGATAACTATTTCATACTAGGACTAGACAACACAGTGGATTCCTTATGGCGGGGGGCGGGTAAAGGGAACGACAGTGTGAGCCTGAGCAGGAATGGCTAAGAAGGTGCTTCCTTCCTCCAGCTCAGGTCCTTGCAGCGAGGCTGCTCCATCTGGGGCTGACTTAAGAGCCATCCCTGCTGTGGCTTTTTGTCTAGCGATGCAAGGCAAGTGCTCCGAGAATCAATGTCCTTGTTCAGAGTCCACTAAACTCGGCAGCTGCAGGAGCTCACAGGTTGCTTGCTAGGGTTTTTGAACTCTCTTTGGCGATGATCTATGATGTCTTTAACCAGTGGCAGAGTCTGAAATGATGAATGGAGTTTTTGTTCATCAATACCCACCCTTCCGAATGGCAAAAGACAGAATGATGACAAGTTTAATTTAAAGATTTCTTTCGGTTGTTGTTGAGAAGAATATCAATCCCCAAACAGAAACTCGAATCTTACAGCCACCAAGCAGAGCCTGATCTACCCGGGTAACATAATAGGAAAATCCCCTCTTCTTTCAACTTTACAAGAGAAACCAGGGTTTGGGGGGGGGAGGCTGAGGCTCAGAAAAGTGGGGGAGGGGAATAACAGACCGGTATTTTGTTATCAAAATTTCTATGCAGTCAAATATACCACAACCAAGGGAAAAAAAATACATAAATTTGGATTTAATCAACAGTGAAGATTTTTGTACTTCTAAGGGAAGTAGCAAACATGTGGTTCTGGCTGAAGTGATGATGGCTCGGCAGTTAAGAGTACTGGCTGCTCTTCCAGATAACCTCAATTTCCAGCACCCACATGGTGGCTCATGGCCACCCATAACTCCAATTCCAGGGGATCAATGGCTTTTTCTGGCCTCCACCAGCACAAGGCATGCACACATGGCGTACAGATATAGAGGTAGGTAAAATACTCATTTACATAAAATAAAATAATTTTTGAAAAGGTGATTCTGCCCAGAATGGGGAAACACATTTGCAAATGATGCCTGTAATGAAGATCTACCATCCAAAATATATGAAGAAACCCTTACAACTCAGTACACAGATGAATAACCCAACTGAGAAACGAGCAAACAGCTGGACAACGGTGACACACGCCTTTAGTCCCAGAGCTTGAGAGGCAGAGGCAGAGGCAGAGGCAGAGGCAGAGGCAGAGGCAGGTAGATCTCTGAGTTCGAGGGCAACCTGGTCTACAGAATGAGTTTCAGGACAGTCAGGGCTAAACCTGACAGAGAAACCCTGTCTTAAACAAACAAACAATGAATTCAAGACCAACCTGGGCTACTCTAATAAAATCCTGTCTCAAAAATGAAAGAGAAGGAGAAAAAAAGCATTTAAGTCACTTTATCTCCAAAGAAAGTATGTAAATGGCCAGCAAACATAGGAAGCAATGCTCAATAGCATTAGTCATTAAAGAAATGCCTACCAGAGTGGCTCTGATTTTTTTTTTTTTTTAAACAGAGAATGTTGACATTTTCCAGGTCCAAAATGAGGCAGCTGAATGCAGCTGGCCAGCTCCTCAGAAAGTTGCACAAAATTACCACAGGCTCCAACAAGGCTATTCTACTTCTGTATCAAAGAGGGTGAAATGTACATTCAGAAAATAAAAGACTTGATGCAGAAGTTCTCCAGTGTCGTTCATAGCTGTGGAAGAGTGGAAGCAACACAGTGGCTTTCAGCTGATGAGCAGGTAAAACATTACAAGGAAATAGTCTTTGATTTCAGTTGGTTTTATTAATTCATTTAGGTTTTTGCCCTTGTGTTTCTCTTTATTACTTTTGTTTTTTTCACACAGGGTTTTCCTATGCAAAACCAGCTGTCCCCAAACTCAGACTCCTTTTATCTCAGCCTCCCAAGGACTGGAATTATAGGTATATCCCTTCATGCCCAGCCCTGGAATAAGGAACTGATCTATATTACCACATAAAAGAGCCTTCACAGTATATGCCAGGAAAGGAAAAACTACCTCATACCGCAGTATTCCACGTATGTAAGATATCCAGAATAGGCTGGGCACAGTGGCTCACATTTCTGCCTAGTTCAAGAGGTTGAGGCAGAAAATCCTCAGAACTCATGAGGCCAACTTCACAGCCCGTGGACACCCACATGGTTCCTGTGGCCTCCCCGACCAGGGATGTCCCAATGTTCTCTAGTGGTCATATGAGCTATGAACATCAACACCAACTTCTACCACGGGCATAGCCATGGACCCAGACATGGTCCCAGCTCAGGCTGGGACATCATCATGGCCAACCAGTGAGCTTTAAAAAGAAAAGAAAAGAAATCCTGATGCTGATCCACCCAAGACCAGTGAAGCCTGAATCTCCACAGCAGGGCCCAGGACCAAAAGTGTCTTTGAAGGCATCCCCTTGAGTCTGTCCTGCAGCAGAGTTGAGAGTCACAGAGTTGAGAGTCACAGACGTGGGGCATCACAGCCTGTAGGCTGCATCCATTATGGAAGTGATTTCTCATTTTTTGTTGTTGTTTCATTGTTATTAGTTTGGACTAATAACAAGGATGCCATTACCTAGCCTGTGCTGGTCTGAACCTTCTCACACAGCCCTGGCTGGCCTCGATGACCAACCCATGAGTGCATCCAGTACAGGCATGTGCTACCCGGTGTGGTGAAATGACCACTCTTGCTTCCTGTCCTGCCTTGGCAGCACGACACTCACAGCCGAAAGTCAGAATGGCCCCTTCACTCCTGCTCATTCAGCTTTTAGCTGTCCTGGGGATGTTCCATAGTCTGGAGGAGCTGAATTTTGGGCTTTCCCTCTCCTCTTTGGATTCGGTTACTACAATTCAACTGTGGGTCAACATGCATTTGTTCCACATCAGAGTAAAAGTTGGAATCCATCCAAGTGGGCTGGAACCCTCTGCGCTGCAAACCTTAGGTTTTATAGTTTTTGAAATTCTAGGCAGACACTCAAGATCTAAAGAGCCTGGAACACGCAAGTTCATGCAAAAGCACGCCTGTGTGCCCTCTTTAATGAGATGACTCAGACACCCTGGTTTGTTTAACAAGACCTCACCTTGGCCTCTGTGGTCTTGGCCTCCGGTGTGCTATGTCTTCTGTTGCTAGCTTCTCACCAAGCCTTTTGGCTGCCATGTCCATCATTTGGCAAATGTGTCTGGGATGATGTTCCAAACCACAGGGTCCCTAATCAAATCCACTCATAAAAGAAGGAACTTCTTATTCACTCTTCTCCAGTTGGGGGAAGAGATTTGACTGAATAAAGAAACAAGACATCAGAAGGGCAAAGAATAGCATGGGGACAGAAGAGGAGCAGCTTCCGCTTTGAGGAGGTTTTCACCCTAACAGGGAGCTGGGTTTAAGGTGTTGGACGACTGCCATAACAAAAGACCCGAGGAGCCTGGAGAAGTGGCTCAGTGGTTAAGAGCACTGGCTGCTCTTCTGAAGGATCCAGGTTCAATTCCCAG